TGGCCATCCACTTCTGAAATAGCAGGCCTCTGAAAACCCTATGTACAAACCTATGTACAACCATAACCTGTAGAAATCATAAACTAAAGAAGAAAATCTATCCTCATACCTCATGCTCATGACCACTACAATATAAATATCTTAAATCAATTAATGCATAAAGTTCAGGGATGGTGAAAGATAGAAGGAATTCAGTTTCTTACATCTACCAGAAATACTTAAATATAAACATACAAAACCCAAACCAGAGTCACTACCCTTCATACGGGCAGTGTCCCTATGTTGTTGTTATTATGTGCCGTTGAATCACCTGCGACACATAGCGACCCTATGTACAACAGCCCTAAACTCTGCTCTATCCTATGCTAATCTCACTGTCTGTCACACCTACCTTCCATTACTCCGGTCACTGAATCCATTCACCTCCCTCTCCAATGACTAGTCCCTCCTTGTGACAAATCAAAAGTATGTCAGACGAAGCTTCAGAATCCTTGCTTCCAAGGAGTAGCTTGATTTAACCCTCTCCAGGGTGAACCTCTTGGTTTTGTTAGCTGTCCATGGGATATTCAATACTCTTCTCCAACACCACAGTTCAAAGGCATAAATTCTCCTTCTATCCTCCCTAGTCATTGTCCAGCTCTTTGATGCATAGAAGTGATTGCAAAGCCCATGGCCTGTATCAGGCACACCTTAGTCTTCAGAGTGACACCATTGCTCTTCAGTACTTTGGAGAGGTTCCTAACAGCAGACATTCCCATCATGATATGTCTTTTCATTTCCTGGCTGCTAGTGCCAAGAGTGTTGACTATAGAGCTAAGCAAACTAAAGCTGTGAACAATCTCAGTGTCTTCACCATCCATCTTCATGCTGCCTGTTGGCCCAGTGGTGAGAATCTTTGTCTTCTTGATGTTGAGCCTCAACCGGTATTGAAGTGTCCCTATAGGAGAGGGTAAAACTACTCTTAGGATTTCCAAGGCAGAACGTCTGGAATATCTGCAAAAGCAGAATTACAAATCTTCCTTGCCTTGTGTGGTTGGTCGATTCAAACTACCAATGTTCCAACTTAGTAGACAGATCCTTTAAACATTTCATCATCAGGCCTTCTTCCAGCATTTCTTGACTGGAGTGGGTGGGGCTTCAGCAATTGATAAAGGAAATGCAAACATCTTTGCAGTCAAGAGAGGTATCCACGTTTTAAACAAACAGTATGTGCCATGTAAAATCTTGATTTTGGATAGTCCAAAAAGTGTTTAAATGTTTACACAGCGTCTGCGTATTATCTGTGTGTGCGGACATCCACTTAAAAGGGTCTTATGGTTATCACAGGAGTCCACAATTAAGGTTGCATAG